GAGAGCCTGTTAATAGAAGCTAATTGACCAGGTAAATCATTGCTTGACATGCGTTTCTAATGAGCTGCAGGACTGGCAGAACAAGTTTCCTAATCAGTCTGGAGATCTACTGTAAGGAGCTTGGAAGCGGGCTGGCTCGCTTGCTGGGCTGCCCAGTCATTTATCATAAGTGGTGACTGGTCCCCTTCTAAAGCTGGCTAGAAGCCCTCATCCCCCAAGGAAAGTTTCTTCCACCGTGGTTCCCCTCTCGCACCCATTGCTTCACCTTGCCTAAAGCAATGGGTGAAGGACATTCTCTTAGCACAGCAAAATGCTTCTAGGGATCTGTTCCCAGTGTAATATTAACAGCCCTTAAAGTCGTTAGTCAGGGATCGCCTCTTTCGATAAGTGATTGTATGTGCAGGGTGGGAGGTTTTCAGCAGCCAGCTATGTTGGGTCTAATTCTGCTCCCATCAAGTTCAGCAGTGACTGCAGGAGTTTCTCCATAAGGAAAAAAAGTTTTAAAACCACTGGCCTAGAGGATGCGGCACCAGTCCCTGCTTGTGGCCTTTGGGTGCTGTTGCAGGGCAAATACTTTAACGATGGACCAGACCGTTTACGATCAGGGACGCTGGTAGAGGTGTGGTAAACTGCATGCTTCGTAAAAAGTGTGGAAAAAATAAAGACCGAAACTGAAGGACTGTTTAAAAACAAAAAACGCAAAGCTCTGAACTTTAGTTACAGCCACACATGTTGGTCCCTGGGAGCTTTCCTGCCCCTATTGAATTTGGTGGGAGTTTTGCCATTGATATCATTGGACCAAGATGTTCACCCTTTTATTTCTGATCACTGCTGTTCTTGCTGGAGCGGGCTTTGCTGACCGGCGCTGCCTTATGGTGGCTTTAAATAGCGCCGCTGTTCCAGTAATGTATAGTTGTTGAAGAATAGAGCAAGCAGGTGTAAATACCCACCCTCTCGCAACCACATCAATCTTGTAAAAACCTCAGCCCTATCTTCCCCTAACTCCCTGAATTTTGTGCACACTTTGTTCTGGATGCAGCATGCCTAGAGGCAGGACTCCATGTGTGGCCAAAATGAGACGATACGTCAAAGGCATCTGCCTTCGTGCACATGTGAAACTGGTCGTGGCTAGGTGGATGTCAGATGGAGGTTACTCTGCTTGGTTAAGAAATTTACTTTTATATGTGTGTGTAGGATTTGCCACAATGGCACCACGACCTCTTTGGTCTCAAGGTGCTAGCACGTTGTGAGTAGTTGGCAGTAATAAAGGGGAGGTAGTAACTCTCGGAAGCTAATTTAGGGTTCCTGCCCAATTCTGTCCCATCACAGAGATGTTTTGAATCTGCTAATTGGAGGAGAGACCATCGGAGATCTGGTCACTGTTGGTGCCATGCGCTGAAGTTGGGGCGGCAGCGATTCATCACGGTCTTTTAATTTTTGATTGCGTGCTGGGGCACAGGTCAGCAGAGTGTTGAGATAAGAGCCTGAGAAGGCTGGAGCAGAAAGCACAGACGAGGCTGTAAAACTTCTCCAGGAGACCGAAAGAGTTTGCTTAAGTGCAGCTGGTGGTTTAGGAAGTATTGTGTTTGTCTGTGACCAGGTGTTCAAGTTCCCCCTTTGCCTGTGATTCATTTTGCAAGACTCACCGAGTAAAATTCTGTGGCCCGTGATACTTAGGAGGTCATGTTAGATCAGGGGTGTGCAAAATACAGGCCATGGGTTGGGTCCAGCCCCTGGTCCACCCTGCCGGGACCCCTGCCTGTCACAGCCCTAGCACTCAAAGGGGCTGGCTGCTGGGGACCTGTGCTGGAAACTGGTCAATGAGCTGGGATGATTGTGCTGTGGGCGGGTAAAATTCTGTGGCCCGTGATACTTAGGAGGTCATGTTAGATCAGGGGTGTGCAAAATACAGGCCATGGGTTGGGTCCAGCCCCTGGTCCACCCTGCCGGGACCCCTGCCTGTCACAGCCCTAGCACTCAAAGGGGCTGGCTGCTGGGGACCTGTGCTGGAAACTGGTCAATGAGCTGGGATGATTGTGCTGTGGGCGGGGGCGGCCACTGTGTCAGGCAAGGAGCCTGCCTGAAGGTCCCGCTGGGCTGCTTGCTGGGAGCTGCCTAGGTAAGTGCCTCCCGACCAGAGCCTGCCTCTGGCACTCCAGCCACTCCCGCATGCCAACTCCCTGATCCAAGTCATCAACACCCTTCTGCCCCAGATCACCACCCACATCCTCTCCCGTCCTCCAGGTCACAACTACCTCCAAGACCCTACACCCCTTCCCCAGGCCAGAATCCTCTCATGCGCCCATAGCCCCTCCCCAATCCTGCACCTCATTCCCCTGCCCCAGGTCACAACTCCCTCCTTCACCTCCCTTCCAGGCCCCAAACCCGTACCCTCAGCTCCCTTCTGCACCCAACCTCCATCTCAGACCCCACCCCCTCTCCACAGAAATGTGAGGCCCTTGACCACTTACCAAAATCTTGGGGTGGTCAAAAATGATTCCCCATTGCATTATCATTATCATTGTGGTCCTGTTTAGCCTTGCGTGCTAAGAACTGATTAAATAAACTCCATTACACACCCATCTAGCATATCCCACATGGCAGGTTTTTATTTTTATCACATACGCACCAAAGTTGGCAGGCAGAGCAGCTTCCCTGTCGGTGACCAATGTGAATCCTCACCCGAGGTCCCTGCTGTCTCGATCGTAACGAATAGGTGTCCACAGAAAGCTCCATCGCAGTGAGCTCTAATTGGCCTTTTGCATCGTTGTCAGCAAAGAGGTTTAGGGACTAATGAAATAAAACTCATTACACATTTAGAGAACAATGACTGCAAAATACACGGTGTGGTGGGGCTTTATCTTCTTAAAGCTGCTTAAACGATTTGGACATGCATTAATTTCCAATGAGAAATGAGCATGAAAAATGTCACCCTTAGACTCTAGTATTGCCAAGTTAGCCTCTTTAATAGGAAGGCTAAATTTAGGTGTTGAATAAGGCCAAACACCACTTTTACCTCCCGCCTACCCATATGCAGTTGCTTAGTTTAAAGAAAAACTGAAAGGCTATTGAACCGAGCAGCTGCTTTGACATGGTGCTTTTGTGAATGAAACACCTGACTTGGACTTCATTTTATATATGGGAAGTTCGTGAAATTCCTTCTGAGGCCGCTCCTTTGGCAAGCTTCCAAGAGGAAAAGAAACAAGCGCTCTTCTCCTTTTCTCTTCCCACTTCGTTTCTGAAGTGCTCTTGCCGGAAGTACCTGTGGAATATAGGTCACTGGGAGTGGCTGGCATTTCCATGTCACCAGTCATGGCTTGTGGTCGCATCCATTCTCCAGGATGCAGATGTTTTCTGTCAGTGCTGGCCACCTTCCAGGGCTGGCCTGTAATAAGGAGTAGATAGGGAAACAGGGCGGTTTTATTGGTGGTAGTTAAGGCCATCATTTTGCACAGAAATTTTTAGTAAATTTCACAACAGAGATGCAAGAAAAGAAAAGATAAGTCTTGGAAAGTTCACCACACAATGTAGTTTGCACAACATAGACATAAGAGATGGGTGGGGGTCTTGGAGATGACAGAAAGGATGTGGAGGCATTGGAGAGGGTCCAGCGGTGGGCAACAAAAATGCTAAGGGGGCTGGAGCGCATGATTTACAAGGAGAGGCTGAGGGATTTGGGCTTGTTTAGTCTGCAGAAGAGAAGAGTGACGGGGGGTTTGAGAGCAGCCTTCAACTTCCTGAAGGGAGGTTCCAAAGAGGAAGGAGAGAGGCTGTTCTCAGTAGTGACAGGTGGCAGGAGGAGCAATGGGCTCAAGTTGCAGTGGGGGGTCTAGGTTGGATATTAAGAAGAACTGTTTCCCTAGGAGAGTGGTGAAGCACTGGGACGGGTTCCCTAGGGAGGGGGTGGAATCTCCATCCCTAGAGGTGTTTAAGTTCCATCTTGACAAAGCCCCGGCTGGGTTGATTGAGTTGGGGTTGGTCCTGCTTTGGGCAGGGGGTTGGACTCCATGACCTCCTGAGGTCTCTTCCAGCCCTGGGGTTCTATGATTCTTGGAGAGTGAAACCACCCTCCATTCACCCCTCATCACCAACTCCTGACCCCTGTTTTGGGTGTGGCGACCTGGCACACACAGTCACAGCTCAGCTCAGGTTTGGCTCACCCATCCCTGTTTCCATCAGCAGACACGCCGAACCTGAGGGGTGTTTGCGATGTGGTGCACAGGTTTCCAACACCAGTCCTAGCGGGAGCCTACTCAAGTGCATTTGTACAAGACCTTTCCAAGGTTCCACGGACTTCACCCAAAGTCGCAGTTTCCATGGCTGCCATCGTCTCTGTGACAAAATCAGAGGTGGCGCGTAGTTGAGGTGATGTGGTGTTTAAAGGCACTGTAAGCGTAATAGGTGGACAGCTGTAGTTTGTAAGAATAGTTGTTTACTCTTTGCATTGTTCTTCATTGAACCTGAGATGTTTAAATATGCCTAAGGGAGTCAGATGTCTAGTAGGAAGAGAGAGGAGGCTGCTGTTAGGATGGTTTCTGTGGGAGCTATGTGGCTCTAGGACTTATTCCCCCTACCTAGTCTGAAATAGCTCACATTTGGTACACAGCAGCAGATGGGTAGGGCCTTTTGGGTAAGGCTGAGGGTCTACGTCCCACAGTGATGGGATAGAAAGGCGTGTTCTTGTGTTGCAGGTGGCTGTCTGGAGTAATTCCTGCATGAAGACTTGTTCCAGTGCTGCCAGGATTACGTTTCCAGTTGTAATTATGCATTGTACAGGCGTCTTTGTTATTTAAATCAAAATAAACCAACTCCCAGTAACTGCAGTTCCTCAACAAATACGCCCATTCTAAACGGTTCTTTAGTTGAATGGCGTTCATCGTATTTTGCAATCTTGGCAATTAATTACCGTGCTGTCAGTTAGAAAGTCCATTTTTCTTGAAAATGTTCATCACGTCTTTATTCTTTTTTTTTCTCCTGTTCACATTCCTTCTCTCATGTAGCAATGCTGGACTGAGAAATTCGCTCTTCGACTCCACGGTGGCCATGGGAAGCAACGAGCTCCCGGAGAAAGATGGCGCTGAAAACCATAGTAAAGATCTCAGCAATGGCACCAACAGCAATTTGGAAGCAGCCAGAAGGCTGGCGAAGCGTCTCTACCAACTGGACCGATTCAAGCGCTCTGATGTGGCAAAGCACTTGGGGAAAAAGTACGTGTTGACACGGGGCATTTTGTGCAATGTTATTCACATGGTTAAAACAAAAGACAGGACTATGTAGCACTTTAAAGACTAACAAGATGGTTATTAGGTGATGAGCTTTTGTGGGCCAGCCCCACTTCCTCAGATCAAATAGTGGAAGAAAACAGTCACAACCATATATACCAAAGGATACAATTAAAAAAAATGAACAAATATGAAAAGGACCAATCACATTTCAGAACAGAGGGAGGATGCAGGGGGGTGGGGGAAAGGAAGGTAAATGCCTGTGAGTTAATGATATTACAGGGGGGGAAGGGGAGATGTCTGTGAGTTAATGGTATTAGAGGTGATAATTGGGGAAGCTATCTTTGTAATGGGTACGATAGTTGGGGTCTTTGTTCAGCCCCCTGCGGAGAGTGTCGAATTTTAGCATGAATGCCAGTTCAGAGGATTCCCTTTCAAGTGCAGATTTGAAAGTCTTCTGAAGTAGGATGCATGTGATTAGGTCATTGAGACAGTGTCCTTTCTGGTTGAAATGGCAAGAAACTGTTTTTTCTTTGTGATCCTGTCTAATGTCTGTTTTGTGGGCATTGATTTGTTGGCGAAGTGTCTGAGACGTTTGTCCAATGCACATAGCAGACGGACACTTTCGGCACATGATAGCATAGATTATATTTCTGGATGCGCAGGAATGTGTGTTCTTGATCTTATAACTCACTTGGTTAGGCCCAATAATGGTGTCAGCAGAGTGAATATGTGGACAAAGCTGGCAACGGGGTTTGTTGCAAGGGAAAGTACCAGGGTTGGTATTAGTGTCGTATGTCCTGTGGTTGTTGGTAAGAATCATCTTGAGGTTAGGTGGTTGTCTATAGGAGACTATGGGTCTGTCTCCCAGAGCTTCTTGGAGTTTAGTGTCCTGTTCCAGTATAGGCTGTAATTTATTGATAATGTGTTGGACAGGTTTAAGTTGGGAGCTGTAGGTGATAACAATTCACATGGCTAATTCTACATGTAACCAAAACAGTTGGATGTTTGCTTTTAATTAATTTTTTTATTATTACTATTATTTAGCAATGAGTTCAGCAAACTTGTGGCTGAGGAATACCTGAAGTTTTTTGATTTCACGGGTATGACGCTGGATCACTCCCTCAGGTACGTGCTCATGTCCACACCTCATGTTCTTTTCATGCGGTCTCAACAGATGTAATTATCCCTAGAGGATCTCTGGCCAGGCCTACACTAAAGGGGAAGGTCGAATTAAGATACGCAACTCCAGCAACTTAATTACGTAGCTAAAGTCGACGTATCTTAATTTGAGTTTTCATGCGGTCTCCACAGCAGAACAGCAATGGGAGCAAAAACCTGTTGGCTTCCCTTACTCCTCGTAAGGGGTAGGAGTTTTGGCATTGATGGGGGCACCGTCTAAGTTTGATTTAGCGGGTCTAGTAAAGACCCGCTAAATCAAAGTCCGGAAGATTGATTGCAGCAATGTTGTTCTTCCTCTTAGTGAAGACATGGCCTAAGGAATTGAAGATGGAGTCCAAGGGGAGGTTAGTTCCTGTTCTTTCAGTTTGTAATTCGAGTGTAAAGAACATAAGAATGGCCATACCAGCTCAGACCAATGGTCCATCTAGCCCGGTATCCTATCTCTGACGGTGGCCAGTAGCACAGCTTCAGAGAGGGAGTGTACCGAAAGGGCAACTGGAGTGATCCACCTCTGTTGTTGTCTTCTGGCTGTCAGAGGTTTAGGGGAGCTGGAGCTGCATCCCTGACCATCTTGGCTAACAGCTATAAACTTATCTACTTCTTTTTTTAACCCATTTATACTTTTGGCCAGCTCAGCATCCCAAGCCAAAGAATTTCACAGGTTATTTGTGTGTTGTGTGGAAAAGTACTTCCTCTTATTTGTGTTAAATCTGCTGTCTGTTAATTTCATCAGGTGACTTACAGTTTTTGTGTTAAGTGAAGAAGTAAATACTGTCATAACATCGCTAAAGAGCCTAGAATCTGGTGGCATTCCCTGACGGGAAACGCTTTTGTGGAATTGTTAAAATTCTTGGTGTGACATTACCCAGGGTACAGCTGAGTGGCTGTGTCCCATCCATTCTCCAATGCAGGTGCCTTTTACATTGCTTCTCTGTCAGAGCAACTGTTTGTGGGCTGCTCACACCCACTCTCCAGCATGTTAGTTACTCCCCGCTAAGTGCTATGGCCAGCCACTCTTCAATTACCCTGCAGAACAAAACCAGCAAATTCTCAGGCCTAGATGTTTCCCCCAGAAATGTGCATCGTGTACTGCCCAGCTCTCTCCCAGACAGCACAAGCTCAGACACATAAAGTCTGTCATTTTATTAATAGAAAAATGATATGCACAGACCCTGTTATCTCAAGTGGAGTTTCCTAAATACTTCAGTACAAGCACACACGGGTTTAGCTAAAACAATAAAACACATATATTAATTATAGAAAGCTACATTCTAAATTATAAATAATGAGGCATACAAGTCAGAGTGGGTTACAAGAAGATAAGAGTAAGGGGAACTACTTACCTAAATTAACAAGTTACAGTGAATTCAAAGCAAAGGTCTCTCTCCCCAATTTTTTAACCATCTTACTGTCTGAATTCCTTTCTGCCGGGTTCCCAGGCTAGTGATGCTTCCTTTGTCCTTCAAATGTTGTCGACGCCATAAGTAGAGGTGACGGGAGAGAGAACTTGGGACTTCTGTTCCCCATCCTTATACCCTTTTCTTTTCTTTGAGATTCCTATCCAGCGGGGACCCTCCAGCTGTTCCTTTGCCAAGATGTAAATTTCTTGCTCATCCCCTTTTCCCTGTCAAAGAATGGTCACTTAACCAAGTGCTGGTCCATTTGATTTCCTCAACACCTGGCTGAGGTCTCAGTTTGCCTTTTATGTCTAAGGAACTGGTTTATGGCTGCTTTTTTAAACTTGGAAGATGTCTCAGTAGTGTTATCCAGTAGCCGTTTATAACTAGGGATGTAACTGTGTACTTGTGTGAAGCAATAAGCCTGAGCTTATTGGTTAACTCTCATAGTTACACGCAGCTCTCCACCCTCCACTGTGCTGCTGCCTCTGATTCAGAGGCAGCCGTGTGGTGATTGGGGGGACAGGCAGTAGCTGTGCTTGCAGGGAGCTGATTTAAAAGCCAGCTCCCAGCAAGCACCGGCTCCTGCCTCTCCCACCCTGCATGTAAACATGTGACTGCTGAAAATTTCACTGGTTACACATTTACAAAAATACACACATTTTAACATCCCTATTTATGCAATGTCACCCGCACACATTTCACTGGGACAATAATGATCAGCAAATTATGAGTTTCTAAATGATACATACTTTGTACAAAATTGAATATAGTCTTGTAAAAGGTGTGAACATAGAGGTGCAGACTGTCACCCTTGGTAATCTTCATGCCTGTTCTGAGGAACCAGGCAACAAATAGCAGCAGTGTGGCCTAGCTGTTGGCCTTTAAAAGTTAATAGGAAAGATGTGACTGAGTCAGTGCACAAGTGCGATGAATCAGAAGAATGGGGGAATTTGACAGCTGAATCCTGAAATGCGCCAAACCTTTGTGGCTAGCTAGGTGTGGAATTCAGGCGCTCTAGCTGCATTCCATACTCAAGCACTGAGCTCTTTTGAAATCTCCTAGGCATCTAAGTATGTCCAGAACAATGAGAGCTACTCGATGCTGATCCCTTCTGAATATGGATGCTCAGCAGCCTTTTGAAACTGGCATTTTAATGTTCTAGTTCTTTAAAAAAAAATCAGAATTCTGCCTCTCCCTTTAATATTTATGCTTGTTACTTTTAGTAGTAAACTAAACTGTCTGCAGCAACTGTCTGCTCGCCCTGGTATAAGTGTTCTGACAGCCAAATAATACTTTTAAAAGAAGGGAGTTTTAAAGTGAGGTTTAACCAGCTGGTACCAAACATTAATTCCTGTAGCTGCTAATTTTTGTGATTCGTTTACAACTGACCCTCGTCGAGTGTAGTTTCTAGGAGCTCAGTCCTGTGACACTGTGACCCGATCACACAGTGCTCCTAAGTATGCGTTAACCTCTTTGAAGACTATGGTATTTGTCATGTGCTTAAGTTAAGCGAGTGCTTAAGCACTTTGGTAGCTTGGAGTAAGTGCTCTTCTTTTTTTAGCTTTGCATATTCGTTATCCAAAAAGCCTCAAAATAAGAGAGGAAAATATTTAAAATAATATAGTTTTGTATCAATACATTTGCACCACTTCTCAGACCATCAGTGATTTGTCTCTTCCCTTTATTGAAGAGTTCAGATGAAATACTTAGGGAATAATTACCTAGTTGGACTTTCTTCCCTTAGTAGACTCTTGGAAACAACTTTTTGACATGCCGTGGCTTATCCCTTGCTGTGAAGTGTTATTAGGGCATTGTCAAACCAGTAGAGATTTGTGTTTTTAATTTCAGTTTTCTCTAACTTCTTTTAGGACTTTCTTTAAAGCCTTTTCACTTATTGGAGAAACTCAGGAGCGAGAGAGAGTATTAATCCACTTCTCCAACAGATACTATCAGTGTAACCCAAACACCGTTTCTACTCAAGGTAATTTTGCTTCTGAGTTTTAGGTCATGGACATTCCTCTTTGTTCTTTCTCTTTTGGCGATTGTCTGTCTGGTTTTTGCTAGAAATATTCTGCTGCCCGAGGAGAAACAAATGTATGCATGACAATGGTCTGTTTATGGGAGGTGAGCGATTGCCACTAAAGAGAATGGTAGTCTTCTAATTTCTCCTTGCCAGAGTAGTGATATGGATGGAAGTAGGGCAACTTTACTAGTGTTGGTCTCAATTCATCACGGTATTTAAACATGCCTTAAGCACATGAGCAGTTCCATTGACTTCAGTGCGACTAAATCCATGCTTACAGTTGGGCATGTTCTAGCTCATTTCACGCAACTTCCTCTTCAGCGCTCTCAGCCATGTTTCAAATTTGGGAAGACGGAACTGTTCCAGAATAAAAGGGCAAACTCTGCTGTTATAACACCATTGAATGCGATAGTTGCGCCGACAGCCAACTTGACCTAAAAATGCCCAGCTATATCAGAGCATATACAAGTCTAAAAGGAAGATAGCAGGAAAAAAAAGAGGAAAAAATTTATTTCAGGCCCCGCATAATCCCAGCTTAGCTAAACGATTTTAGCCACTATTAAACTAAATGTTAGGGGAGGAGGAGAAGGATAATGTACTGTGCATGATGCAGATGGACTAATAGTTAGGTACGGAGGGGATTAGAATTAAATCTACTTTAGCTGACTCTGTTCTAAATTGGTATTTTCTTCCATGATACTCATTGGAAGTGGATTGTGGAATCTAAAATAAATGCTTAGCTTTGCCCCCATCTAAGGAATAGATTTTGCCTTTTGGCAGCCCTATACCGGCAGCTTGATGCTCCGCAGGAGGGGACTGCTGAGGAATTTCTAACTCAGAATCAATGTTCCCTCTAATATATTCCGTGCATGGGCGGATTATTTTTATCCTGTGCGGAATAAATTTTATATGTGGGTACGAGCAGCAGTATAGCCAGGAGGCACGGATGAAGCCAATAGAATAAAGACATACCTGAAGAGCGTGGATATGTTCCAGGTATGTACCTTACACGTTTGGCCCAAGCCATGCCTCTCTGGCCACATGACTGGTTTTGGCCCCATATCATCCTGCTGCTGGAGTGGAAGGGTAGCATAGGTGTAGCTTTAGACCTTGATCTCGCAATGAGTTCAGCCCATGTCTAGTACCACTGGATTCAAGATAGGATCACGTCCTATTTATTTCATAGGAGCCTTGCACGGTGGAGCGGACAGGAGAGAGAGTTTATACGGCCTAACCTTACAGCACGCCACCCGAACCTCCCACTGAACCAGAAGTTGTTAATTTCTTCATGTTTTTGTTTTTTTAATGATGTCCATCAGCATAATAGTTGAATGCTTCATAGGGAGCGATGGATGTAGCTTCCCTGCTCCCCGGCGAGCTGGGGCTATGACCCCACTTTATGGACAGGAAAACTGAGGCACAGAGCGATGGATATTGACATTTTCAAATGTTGACTAGCTTGAGGTGACCAATGAGAGCGGGAGTGTGAACACCCCCAGCTCCTGCTGACTTCTG